GCCCAAATTTTAGGGCCCCCGCTGCTGTAATACTTTTTGAATAGGTAGGTAGCATTCATACATTTGCTACTTTTTATTCGTAGGTACAGTTTTAGGTACAGGGTGTTTTACTAAAATACGTATACCTACAGACTTCACATTCAACTTACGCGATATTTGTTAATGTGATATAATGCCTATCTTGGTACTTGATCTGCATGCCTACAATCATTTGTATCGCAAACACCTAATCTGCTTAAAATTATATTATTATATATTTTATTCTGCATTACCTATTGCGCAATGTTGTGAATACATAATCATTCTTTTATTGTTGTCATATTGCCTTGAGCATCATTGATATCGATAAGAAAAAAGGATATATAATTTTCTCGTAAAATTTTGTTGCGTATATCTGATATAAGAACGTGGTGCGTATTGACGTCATGATTGATGCATGCAAGTTTTCAAATAGGTATAGATAGATACTTATACAATTTTGTACTAGACACACTTTTTAAGCAGGTATAAGTACAATATACATCCTTTTTTGCGAGGGGAAATTCTTCTCTCGTCAGGGTGAGGCGAGAGGGAGAGTCAGTCTTTTTTTTGTTACTAGGGGAAAGTCATCAAATGACTTCTATATCGCCACCCCGGCTGAATATCAGCCCTGTATGGCCTCGTGTGTGGTGGTCTATAATTGGCTCTTAGAGGCGCACGCGGAACGCTACGCACCTTACACTCAAAACTGGTTCTGGTTGGACGGGGAGCTACCCCTACTCACCGTCCACAGATCTGGTGGCCGGGGATCACATCACGATCCCTACTGAGGAACTGGCGAGCCGTCTCTTCTTTCTCGCAGAAAGTCTCAGTCGGCACCGTTACCTTGACTAAGGCCGGGCACGCCATAATTTTTAAATTTTCGTAGACATGCGCCCGCTGGCAATCAAGTTTTAACAAGTTTTTGTTATTTGATTTGTATCAATCGGCTGATTCATAGAATACTTGTTCTGACTTGTTGAGTACAGTTCAGCGTCGAATGAGATAAACGGATTAATGCATGTTTGTCTTATTTCTGTCGGTGCGGTAGAATCCTATATAAACATCGGAATATTTAATTTACTTTCATTTGCAGTTTCGCTTGTATTATATAACCTACCTACTGCTTATCGGCGAAGAAGGATCGGGGTGGTATTTAGGCAGTAAGAGTATGACACCTTTTTTCGCCCAAACATGAGCGGGAAAAGTCATTTGATGATTTTACGCCCATTGAAGTCGAATTGGCGTACCAATGGTTCCATACCATTCATTAAAATATTAGGTAATTCAAGCAATAAACACTGAAGCTCGTTGTATTGAAATGAAACCTCACTTAAATATTTTTTTAATTCAGTTTTTCGTGTTAGTTGTTGTTACAATAGCAACAGTCAACATCATCCTTCCAAATTTGAATTCCTCCTGTCTAGCGGTTCATTAGATACAGCTTTTTTCTGTCAGAGGAAAATCATCAAATGACCTCTCCCGCCCAGGGAAGGCGAGAGAGGGTGTCAGACTCTTACTGGCTAAAAACCTCCCCGTTCCTTCTCCTGCTCTGGGCCAAGGCCGCGGTGACTCATTGCGCTTAACCTCAGCCCTATAGGGCTCCGTCTGTGGTGGTCTACAGGCTCTTTGAGGCACGCGCGGAACGTTAGGCGCCGTCCGCTCGGGTCTGGACGGGTCGGGCGGCGAGCAACCCTTACTCGCCGTCAGCGCTTACGGTGGCCGCTGGCCGTAGATCGTCTCTCCCCCGACGCCCGGAATGTCGCCTACTGCGGCGGTTAGGGCGCGAGGAGGATAGTTCCCTCTGATTAGATACAGCCTAGAAACAGACAGCGGAGACATTGAAGTGCGGAACCGTAACAATAGTGACATTCAATTTTCTAAACCAGAAACACATTTTTTTATCGCATCAAGACAGATTCATAAGGTGTTAAAGTTATCTTGTAGTCAGATAAACAAATTCAGATAAATTATCTACGTTCATAATATTACGACAAGTTTTGAATGTCTCTTAGTCAGGTGACGAGCAGAAACTAAACGCTCGAAGAAGAGATTAGGGGCCTGTGAACAAGATAATATTGCAATTGTTTTTATTGGTGTCCTACAAGCGCCTAGCCCGACCTGGCTTCACACGAGTTATAGAACTATAATTTTTGTGACTGACTACCTAACCTAACATAATTATCTTTAAGAAAATCAAATCTGTATCAACAACGTAATCTTTTGTTACGCCACAACTAAATTAGACATGAAGTATTTAGATATCTAGTAAGACGTCAATAGTTTAATGAAGCGTTAACTTTACGACGATCGTCTAATATTTAAGTTTCTTAAAGTATATTATTTTATTTTGTACTTTCATGATGTCTATGCATATTGCACAGTTTACATTAATATTGCGCAATATCTATTGATAATTTTAGGTAGATTCTCTATCTTCTTCTTATCTAGCTATCTATCTCTAATAGGTATGTAACTTACCCACCTTATGACATAGGTTAGGTATACATACATACCTTGATTTAAACTCAACTTTTAATATTCCCTAGTAGCGATCTTGTTTTATTTTTACTTTTTTTTATTTGGAACAAAAAATAGTTATACTTACATTGCAGAATTAACAATAAGGTAGTTACAATACAGTTATAATAACGTATAACCCACACCATTGTCCACGTAATAACATACGAGTATGAGAACGAACGCATGCTAAGAAAAATAAAATTTAAATTGGAATAAGTATTAGCTAGCACTTACGGACAGATCGAGGGGAGCAGAAGTCGAGAATAGGTACTTATGTACCTACGACTTGCAAGAAATTGTGAGACAACTCTTTTAAATTTGGGTTTGGACAGCAAGAAAATATCGTAGTCAATGAATTGTGAGTTTTAGGTTTCTAAGAGTCGGCGGATAGGGGCTCGTACCCCGGCCTTAGTTCTGCACCGAGGAGCGTAGAATAGCCGAGGCGCGCGCACCCTTCGCCGAATAGCAGTTCTACCTACTACATAACATAGTCTATTAGACAACTCAGTACTGTTAATTTTATTATTGCTTATGCCGTATGTATCATAACCATGATCAATAAACGCCTAGAATCAATCTGCACAGGGAATCCTTATACGTAAGTACTTATAGTGCATGGCATGAAGAAATTTTTTCTGTACCTTTTCTATAGCATGCTTATATTTTTCATAATACGGGTACCAGATGGGTACCGCGTATTCTAACTGTGAACGGACCAGCGTTTTATATAGAAAAAGAAGAGTAGAAGGGTTTTTGAAATCCTCACTAGACCGCAATACAAAACCATAGATACATCTGAAAAGCTTTGCTAACTATCTATCTTGTCAATATGAGTGTCGAGATGCAATTTGCAACCAAGAAGTACGCCAAGAACACGCGTGCACTCAGTTTTTTTTAGTTGTGTGTCATTCAGAGTGTATTGGAAGTGAATACTATTTTTGTTTTTACTGAATGAAATGTAATGACATTTTGGAAGACTAAGATGAAGTTTATTTACCAGACAGTATTGTGCAATCCTGCAAAAGTCCTCCTGTAGAAGCAAACAATCTTGAGAGTTCGCACAAGCCTTGTAGATTTTTATGTCATCAACGTACATTAGGACTTTCGAGTTGATTATGTAGGGTTTCATATCGTTTATGAACAAGATAAACATCAAAGGACCCAAGACCGAACCCTGCGGCACGCCCGATCCAACGACCACGTAGTATTGTTTTTTAAGGAAAACCAAGGCATTTTATATGGGTACCATTATGGCTAAAGCTCCACATGATAATTATCTTGTTGTTTAATTACAAACTTTTTATCATGCCCAGAATGATGAATCTATAACTATTTTTCTGAGAAATGGCTTCTTTTTCACATGGAGTAGGATTGAGCATCACCACACTTCACATTGATAAGTAAAAAAAGGTTGACAACGCGGAGGTTGAGCAACTGGTTGCTGCACAACGTCTCGCTGCCATTTGAAGGGGGGAAATCATCAAACGTCTTCTCATGCCCTGGGTGAGGCAATAGGGTCTTATACTCCAAGCCGAGTTGCGATACATCTTTGCACTAGCAATCCAAGCCTAGCTTGCGCTAGGCTTATATTATCCCGGCTGGTTAATGATGGTCTGATTGCTCTACCACCTGAAATGGTCTCGCTTAGTTTACAAAAACTCGCTTGTCGTGTCCCAGAGCGTCATCGCCATTCGCATAATCCGCGGCTATCGCACGATCTCCGGTGAGTCGGCGAACTTCCTTGCCTGATCACCGCCATGGGATCTTGTAGCGAGCGCGTTTGTTATTTGGAGTTTGCGGGCTTGACTTGAGAGACGCATTGGCGTCCTCAAGTCGACTGACGCCGTTACAGTTGCAGTGGAACGGCAAGTTCCCGGTAAGCAAATTCGGTGGGTTCATTTTTCTAGAAGGTCATTGTAAGAACCACCTGGAGGACACGGTAGAGCAGAGAGCAACGCCATCCCTCAGGAAAGTGATCGGCGGCGGCGACGTGTCGCGTCCAGACAAGAACCAGACCCGAGCATACGGCACGTCGCATTCCGCGCGCGCCTTTGAGCCAATAGACCATCAAAGTTGCGGGGTAAAACGCAATAAGGCACCGCGGTCTCGGCCTAGAGCAGGAGAAGGAACGCGGGGGGGGGGGGAGACCAGACGGATCACCTGATGGTAATGGAATAGGTGGCAAACGAGTAGACGGATCATGGACATCCGCAACACCAATAAGAGTCTGACACTCCTTCCCATCCCACACTGGGCGGGAGACGTCATTTGAGATGATTTTCCTCTTACAAGAAAAGGATGTATTAGTAGGGCAGTCGGAATTTTGGTATATTTTGCAGCAGGATCATCTCATTCTTATTAAATGGGATACTTGAGTTGAATGTTGGTAATGTAAAAACGATAAACACATTAAATACTTTAAGTTAAAACCTTTATTTTTATAATTAAAGAAAGAATACCACACAGTAAATAAAGAAAAAGAAAGTAAAAATTACACACACTAACTAAATCAATATAAACTCAAAGGTTTCACAGTCTAGTTCATGTTATTACATTCAATTATGTGAAGTAATGGTAATTAAATAAATAATATATATAAGATGTCAGCTTAAATCTACAAGATTCAACTATGTCAATATATATTTTTGGTTTGAAATGAGGTCAAATAAGTTGTTTGAACATTTACCAATTAATACATAGACTGTTACAGCTCATATCATGTAGCTTGTTGAACTGTATATATGTAAAACAACATAATTTAAACGATAATAAAATGATTGAGTAATCTTCATAATATAACAAATATGTTTTATACTTACTCAGTCTTAATTTGTCAAGTCATTTAATTTTAATTACTCATTTTTATATTTTGCAGCTAAAGCCTCTAACTTAGACAGAATTTTCTGCAAATCAGCATTCTTATCTAATTTTAAATAAGTGTTGTTCCTTATTTCATGTAACTTCACAAAATCTGGCAGCTCCTCAGTAAGCACCTTGATATCTTTTTGCAGATCAATTGCAGATATGTTAGCTTTGAAGCTACTATCTAGTTTAGAGAGAATTATGTTTAGAGCTAAAACATTTTTCCTCTCAGTCACAAAGATATTTCGCAAAGTACGAGCTAGATCTGGCAGACGACTGTAAATCATGTACTTTTTGTCATTCTCAGTCGACCTTGTCATGGCTTCTAAAGCTTTGGCAGCTTGTTTAGCTTTCACCTTTTCCAAAAGAGCAGTGGGCAGGTTGCGTAGTGCTGGGTTCATTATAGTCACAGTGCTAGTGGAAGGTTGACTCGTCTGTGTACTAGTGCTTGCCATGCCATTTATACTAATACTTGGTTTGCTGTCTGTAATGCCAGTTGCAGCCATTTCTTGCTGTGTGAGGCCACGAGCTTTAGCCTGAGCTAATTTTTCTAAAGCTCTTTCCATCTTTGTGTTACATTTAAATAATTCGCGTGCCTTGGCCAGAACATCTTGAGCACTTGAGAATTTCTCCACATTTGGCATTTCAGGTAACTTGGCACTCTCAACCTCAGGTATCTTCTCTATATCAAATTCAGGATGCCAACGAGTCAATTTGTCTTCAGGGATCACCATAGGAGGGTCAAGTGTCTGTAAGTACTGTGCATGGTGCTTCTTTACTAACTGAAGCAAAATGTCGTAAAAGTATCTACGCCTCTCCAGAAGTACAGTTGGATTCATGATTTTAATATCATTAGGAAAGTTAGGTGAGATCATTAATTCATATTGTTCTTTTTGAGTTGAGGTACTGAAATTCTTCACCTTTTGGATTTCAAAATTATAGAAATCAGGTACTAGATGTTTTATTTGAGCCAAATGTTTCTGTGTGAATGAACGCTTAAGCATCTCTTGAACTGAAGGTCTGAGTTTAGCAAAAGTTATCTTCTCATTTCTGTTGTAGAGTAAAGCAACAACAGTCTCCATGCCACGGAACAGTTCAGCGAGGAATCTATAGTGATGAGGCAAAGGCAAGCTGCTGGATGTGGATGCGAGAGCTGCATGTCTGATGTATGCTGGGACCTGGAAACATCAGGAAAATATTTTACATTATTGCCTATAGCTACATTTAAGGCAAAACGAAATCGAATGTATGCAAGCTGAAATGGCTGTTACAAAATTCAGTAATACACCTTTGCAACAGTTTCAAAAGCATCATTTACTTTTCTATATTTTTTTTTTTATCTTTGCTCCGCATTAGGATTTTGTCCTGTTTTGTGGGTGTGTTTACAAACATACAATATCACATCTCTTTGTGTGATCTATAAATTATGCCAGACCCAGAACAACAATTTGTAGATCACACAGAGTTGTTCTGTAAAAGAATCAAACCCACAACATGTTGCGCAGCAGCCAGTTAGCCAGCCCGCATCAACTGTGTCAATGAATGATTTACCATAAATCTAATCTATCCCTACATCTATAATACTATACATTTATTACTAGTGCTTGAAAGATTCTGAATACTCACCTTATTGGGACTCTTGATAGGGCTGACCACAACCTTCCTAGGTGATATGAGTGGCCTTTGTGGAGTTGCTGGTGCTGGCATACATTTTTTGGGAGATAGGAATTCATTCTGCTGAAGCTGTGCCTTCTTACTTGGACTGAAAAAGCAGAAAAAATATATTGTAGGTACTCAAAACATTAAATGGCCTGCCCATTTATTATTATATTAATTAATCAGAAATAAAACAGGGACAACTGTTAAATGCCTCTATTTTATTCTACAATACTCAGTTATTTCTAGTTTTCAAAAATTATTATTTTTTTTTTTTTTTTTTATATATTATGTAGAAAGTGTTTGTAAGTGTCACTATTTCAGAAACCTGTACACAGTTTTAGGTAGTGACCTCTTAAATGAAAATTTTTACGCTGTAAAAATAGATTGTTGTGATGCCTTAAAACCCATTTAAGATTTTGTATGTTGAATGTTATGGATTACCGCAAAAAGTAACTATTAAAATCATCATAGGTATAATAACTTTTGGAAGCCTCCTTTATCATAAATTAATATCAAGTGTCATTGCAATAACATAATCACAACATGTGTTAATATGAGATGCTAAATAATCATTTAAGACTTTAATAATGCAAGACTGAGTGGAAAATTAGCGAATGAATGCTGCAGCCTTTTATATTCAAAATTAGACTACAGATGTTAAATAGTAGGTAGTCAGAACACTACAAGAGAAATGGTTTGGAATACCAACCTCACTGGTACTTCCACATCAATAGATTTGAACTCTCGAAGGTTACGTTTCTCACTAGCTTGCTGCAGTTCCTTTATGCCTTTGCTCAATCTATCAGCAGTAGCTCTCAACTCGGCTAACCTCGAACTCCCAGCTAGTTTCTTTTTTATGTCACCAAGACTCAATTCTTGACGAGAAGACACAGTAATCTCTGTTTTAGAAGCCTGCGTTTTTTTAGGTGTATTAGAGGCATTTATTTTTTTACCAAATGCTGCAGCTTTAGGCGCTATGTATTCTACTTTCGTCTGTTCTTTTGAGGAAGCATGCTGAATGGCGTTTCGTTTTGGTTCCTCGTGTATAATCTCACTAGATTTAGAAGGTTGCTGGAAGTCTTTAGCTATGATTTCACATTTCGTTACTGAAAGAAGTTTACCGCTTGGTACAGTTCGATCTACGTGTGGTATTTTGCTTTTAGATGTAACAAGATCTTCTGATGCTGGCCTTTTTCTGCTTTGAAAAAACGAAGTAATAGATGTCTGCGACATCTTTGATATATTGATTATACAGAAACGATTTATCTACTTCGATAAATAAATGCTCAATTACGTTTCTCTCACTATTTTTCCCTCCAAAACGACCGTTGGCACTTGACTTGCTATGAGCTTGGGAGCTTGGTGCTGCTGGCGTAAGATGAGAAGTCGCGCGCGAATTTGTGTCATTATTACAAATGTCAGCTGTCAATGTCAGTGTCAAATTGTTTTTTTTTTTTTGTTGGTTCAGCAGGTAGACGTCATACCGATGGTTTTTATATTTGAGGTATCCTGCCCCTATGTTATTCAAAAAATGAATCATTGATGGTCGTAAGTATTAAGAAATCTATGGATTTAGCTATTATTATCTTAGATTGCATTAGAACAAGGCGTGCCTGCAACGACTTGTCCACAGTGTATAAAACAACATATAATTACGCGGGTATTAACGCGGAAAATAATTATTTGTTTCGACCTGTGCAACCGAAATATGAAACGCGAAAGTTTAAAAGTTGGTGTGTATAAAACAGTCGCAACAAGTATTTAGAGTTAATTTGACCGTGGGGCCATTTTTAGTATGAAACAATAATAAAACACGGGAGATCATATAAAACCTGTGGCACTTAAAAACTAAAACAATTAAAAACAGCACTTCTTGTCCATAATATTAGCATACACACAGTAGTACCAAAACCCCATGAATGTTTCAACAAAACATGTATGACTTCAGTGCATTTTGTTAGGGCAAAAAGTTATAAGTTCAAAAATAATAGCTTAAGCAGGCCTAAAAAGCTTTGGCCAGCAGCTTACCAGGGTTAAAAGTAGGCCATGTGTTATCCCAAATTTTAATCGATGCATAATTTCACTCTGATCTGTTCACTAGTTTTTGCGTGAATAAGTAACGAACATCTATACATCCATGCATTAATCTATATAATTATACTAGGTTTAGTTAGAATTTTCTCCTGTGTTATGGGTACACATACACACACCCAGACCCGGAACAACAATCAGTGGATCACACAAACAGTTGTTCCGTGTGGGAATTAAGCCCGCAACACGTTGCGCGGCAGCCAGTTGCCAAGCCACCGCGCCAACCGAGCAGTCAAGTCAAAGGTTTATTTTAGGTGGATAAGAAGCCCTTATGTCTGCGGGATCTTCGGCTACAGCCCAAAAAGCCTTTAGGTATATTGAAACTCCTGACAGCCGATTTATCATTAATTTATGGTTATATACAGAATGTGATGTTTGTTGATGATTTTTGGTTGACATTTTATTAATGATAAAATCATAGTTTATCGTTGCTTTAGGTACATTTATTTTTGAATTCCAAAGACCTTAAAATAAAGGGTCCTCTTAAAAGTGAAACAGCTCATGTACATGAATCAGTATAGAAACTCACAAAATGTCACCGAGACATCATAAAAACACATCAAATGATCCAAAATATCAGAATACAGTAATTGTACCCAGTAAAGTACGAAGCAAGGGCAGTAGTTCCAGCAAACGAGATGACTTCGAGGGATTTGAAGAAACAGAAATCACTGCACAAATATCAGTACCAGCTGAAGGAGGATGGGGATGGGTCGTCGTTTTAGCCAGTTTTTTGACGATATTCATATTTGATGGAATTTACTTCACGTTTGGCAGCATGTTAAAAGATATGACAGAAGACCTTGGAGTAGACCAATCTTTGGTAGCACTCATAAATTCTGTAGCCGTTGCGCTGTATTTTATTGGAGGCCCTTTAGTATCTGCACTTATTAATCGATTTGGATTTCGTGCTGTTGCCATGACTGGTTCAATCACAAGTTCAATGGCGTTACTTGGTACATATTTTGCTGCTGATTATATAACAATTCTTTGTATATACGGTGTGATTGGAGGAATCGGAGCTTGTTTATGTAGCATGCCGTCGGGATTAGTTGTAGGTTTCTATTTTGAACGGCTTAGATCTGTAGCAATGGCAATATCGAGTACTGGTTCAAGTGTAGGAATCATGGTCCTATTTAGCATAAATACATATATTGTTAACTTGGCTGGATGGCGCGTTTTGATGCTGTTTCATTCTGGATTAGTAGCTACAACATACTTTTTTACTATGTCTTTTAGACCTTTGCTCTCTTTGACTGTAACCACATCACCGATCACAGCTACTACTTCTGCAGAACGTACACGTACTGTAACTTATTTACCTAGTTTGAGTGCTATTAAAAAGTCACCATCTAAAACGAAAAGAGAAGAAATATTACCTAGTGCAGCGGAAAGACTCTTTAAAGCAGTCCCTAGTCCCCACTTTCCTACTGCGGCGGCAGTGATTAGAGAAAGTGAAGTGGTTTCACCGACCCAACAAACACGACCGGGCCAAATAGAACAACCAGGCACATCTACTGCAGCTGTTCCATCGAGGCTTATCGTAACAGCACAAGGACCGCAAAGCGGAATAAGTAAGAAACAGTTAAAACAAGTTCAATCGTTAATATCAAAGTCAAAAACAAGTGTACCAGAAAAGGAAGATACTGTTAAGGAGAAAGTAGAAATAGTTTTAGAAAAAGAAATTCCGCAGAAATGGTGGCAAAAGTTATTTCGTTGGGAAAAGCATATAGCTGAAGCGAGACCCATGTATCGTGATGACGCTTTTTATGAGGGACCTTTGGGCAAGTTATCTGCCTATCAAAAAAGTAAGATGGAGGTTGCACCTGAAGATAGAACTGGTCTTGAATATCAAATGGCGGTTACACGTGCAGTGACCGCTGCCGATTTAGGAGAAAAAAGAGGAGTTTTTACTTCTGCTGTAAGAAGAGTTCTTGTTACCATGATGGATCCACAGTTATTGAAAAGAGTTTCTTTTCAATTATTGTGCTCGAGTGGTTTCTTCACGTATTTAGGATTCTTAGTACCTTATGTGTATTTGCCAGATAGAATGATGGAAGCAGGAATAGATCCCACACATTGCAGTTTATTTATAAGTGTCATGGGTTTTTCAAATGCGTGTGGCCGTCTGGTCATAGGTACAATGGCCATGAAATGCAATCCTTTAAAACTATATGCTGCTGTGTGTATAATATCTGGATGCGCAGTAACAGCATTCAATTTTTCTTTTAACTTATATTATCAGTACGTAATATGCGTTATGTTTGGATTTCATATAGCCAGTCTAAGTTCCATGAGAAGTATAGTAATCGTTCAAATGTTTGGTCTAGATATGTTAACTAATGCAACGGGTGTCATGATAATGTTTCAAGGCGTGGGTAGTCTAATAAGCACCCCACTATCTAGCGTTCTCAAAAATCAATTTGGCTACGATGTATCTTTTTACGTCGCCGGAGTGTTTGTTTGTATGAGTGGCATTGTTTTAATCCCAGCTAGCAGAATCAATAAAATTGAGAATGAGAAAATTAAGGAAAAAGAGAATGCAGGAGAAACTAAAAAAGTGTGATTTCGACTCGACGACAACTGTAATAAGGGCATAAACACCGGTACGAAATTGTATTTTTACTTAAGAGAATGTCCATTGTACATATTGATCGAAACTCCGACTTAATTAGAAACCAATGTTATCTTATAAATCAACCAACTTAATTTAGGAAAAATGATGTGTCACTATCAACCTCATCTAAGACCGTAGAATTTTTACCAACTTCTGATTAATTCTTAGGTTATTCATTATGGCCTAACTTAGATTTTTTTACGTAAATAAATTTTATAATACTTTTTCATGATTTTTCATTCAGTCATTGTAATAAATAGGTATGTAAGAAATTAAATAGATATATCTTCTCAATCGTATATCCAATCGAATTTCGAAATTGTAAAAAAATCGCTCTGTGGTTAATGCACTCTCTATCGCTTGGTTGTTGTCTTTAATGAAAAGATATACCTATTATGGTATATTGTGATTTTGATAAAAGTGTACTGTGGCTCTTGTTGACCATTATTTTTTATAATAAAAAACTATTTGATGGTTAAAGGATCGAGTGCGTTATAGTCTCAGTAGTGATTATAAATAATTAAACTAAAGATGATCAGAGGTCTATGGTTATAATGTATTAATAACATTTTTTTTACTAGCAACATTTCGAGTTCATGTTCGAGCGCATTTTGTTCTGCGACCGGCCGCCATACTCAAACAAAAAGATTTGAGATGAAAAGATAAATTTATATATATATTGGCGTTGTTGAAAGTGATTAATTACTAAATGAGTTCTAAATCAGATGTAAATAGAAGAGTGCTCGCCATTCAGGCGAAAAAGAAGCGGCATAAACTCGGTAAAAAGAAAAATCGCGAGGAGGACCACGGGGCTGGTGTACAAGGAAACGGTCTGCGCAACCAGAATCAGAATCGTTTAGAACCTACACATAGTTCTTCCAATGAGACGATCGAGGAGGATGAGGACGAGCAATACGCGAGCGACGATGAGGAACAGGAGGACAGCGCTGACTATTGTAAGGGTGGTTACCATCCTGTCAAAATTGGAGACTTGTTCCTGAATCGGTACCACGTCACTAGAAAACTGGGATGGGGTCATTTTTCTACTGTGTGGTTGTGTTGGGATCTCGTCGACAAGCGTTTCGTCGCATTGAAAGTCGTCAAATCGGCACCTCATTTCACGGAAACTGCTTTAGACGAAATTAAAATACTCAAAGCAGTTAGAGACAGCGACCCATCGGATCCGAAGAGGAATAAAACCGTTCAGTTGCTTAATGACTTTAAAATAACTGGTGTGAATGGAACCCATGTTTGCATGGTGTTTGAAGTTTTGGGTCACCATCTATTGAAGTTGATACTCAAGTCTAATTATCGAGGTATACCCCGAGAAAATGTCAAAACAATAATTCGTCAAGTTCTTGAAGGCTTGGATTACCTTCACACTAAATGTAAGATAATTCATACGGATATTAAACCTGAAAATGTATTGGTTTGTGTAGATGAATCTTACATCCGTAAACTGGCAGCTGAAGCTACTGAATTACATTCCTTAGGCTTGAGACTGCCTCATTCTTTGATTAGTACTGCACCAAAGGAATTTCAAGAACAGGTAGTTACTGCTAAAATGAGTAGAAATAAAAAGAAAAAGTTAAAGAAGAAAGCTAAGCGCCAGTCCATGTTACTTAAAAAGCAAATGGAACAAATTGAGGAAATGGAAGAACAGAAGAAAGTTGTTAATAATAGTGAGTCTGCACCCATGTC